AAGATAAAGATTCGTACAGAGTAGACTAAGTCAGATGACCTGAGATATACTGGGCTACATCTAATAGAAGCTCTTAGGTCTTACTTGTGACTTTACTAATACTGTTGGCTATGTTCTTTGTATTTCACCTGTTTTACAAAATTGCTATTTCTTACAGTGCCAAATGTGTGACTGAGGCCTCTGATAAAATGATATATAGTTCCCTATGAGATCTATGATGATGACAATGTAACTCTAAATATGAAAAGAAACAACAAGAGGGAATGTTTTTCTAGACCAAGAGGCTAGTAAGACAGGTGGTCCAGAGAATTTTAGATACTGTTTTATGGCCTAGTCCAGTAACTGCACATTGAGAGGCCGGTCGACAAAATCTTTGCCAAACCTGAAAAAGGACATTCTCAGCACCATGGGATAAAATGGTCATGAAATGCCCCCCTCAAAGTCGTGGTCAAGTTTGTGAGCAGAAAGGGGCTCTGCCAACTGAAGATTGACACTTGCCATCTACATCTACAGAGATTATATCATGGCCACTGCAACTGCTGACTTTCAACGGCCCTGAGTTCAGGGTGAAGATCAAGAATGAGGCGTTCCATGCTCTGGAAAAAAACTGGCAAAACAGGCCTTCAGATAGTTAGATCTTTTCAAGAGATTTTATGAGTCCCAATTCTTGCATCTTCTCATACATAGAGAAACACTGACATACAATTAAAAGTCAAAATAGAGTACTCAGCTATGGTTCAGACATCCTGAAAAATGAACAGATGTTACTATGGGTGTAATTTCAGATTAGACATTGTATTGCTGAACACTTGAGTTTTCTGAGTCGTGTCAGGCTTAGATGCCACCATTCTCAAAACAATGTCTGCTAAAAGCTAATAACTTCTACCTTACTTTTTATATAACTAGACAACTGGCCACCTGGCTACAAGTCTCCCTGGAGTGCCAGGTCCAGACTGGGTTTCAGGCCTATTCTTCTAAAAAAATTATATATATATATATATACATAACAATGTCTTTTGAGTTCTTCTACAGAACTGGAGCCCCCACCCAGGTGGAAGATGGTAACTTCAGACTAAACATAAGATTCCAAAAACACAGCTCTGTTGCTTGACCACCAGCCAATCATCCCAGCAGTGCCTCCTGTTTCTGGGGACCAGTGATGACCATCCTGTTAGGTCTCCTGTTTGGCCCCTGTCTATTTTACCTCTGAGAGGTGCCGACAGTTTCAAACTTAAGTTGCTGTTATTACAAGAGTACAAGCTGGTTTCAGATATAAAACACCCCAACTTAGGTCAGGTATAGAGAGACTTCTGCTCTGCTAGGCAGGCCTACGCCCAGGCACAGCAGGAAAAAGTTACAGAAAAAAGAGACCTCCACCCCAAATCCCAAAAAGCATCTTGAGTATGAAGTCTCTCAAGGGGGAGTTGTTAGGAAAAACACACTGCCTGTCCGTCCACCTAATGTTACTCAGATCTCAATATTCGACTGCCCCCACAGATGATATAAAAGACCCATGATTGGGCCTTCCATGGAAACAAAAACAGGGGGGAATGTGGGGCTGCCGGGGCTGGCAGGCGGCCTGGACCTGGGTTTCAGTTTCCCCTGAAATGGTGGGATTCCCCGCCCCCATCAGGTAACCTGGAGCCAGCCAATCAACATGCGCCCAGTAAGAAACAAAGGGAGAGCTAAAAAGCCCGCGGACGCCTAAGTTTGAACAAAAGCCCGCGAAAGTTTGTACCAATAAAATTGCTTTGCAAACATGTAACCAATCCGCTTAAGCCAGCTACTAACCGCTTATGCATACCTTATAAATTTGGGTAACCGCCTCTGCTCAGGGCTATCTGACCCCGTACCACTGCGTTGGATGCGCAGCAGGAGCCCTGGCTCGAGTCAGCAATAAACTTCCCTTTTTGCGAATTACATTGTCTTGGAAGCCTTCTCTCTTCCCGCTCGGGGATTCGGACATCAGGCAAAACAATTAGGAATTCCAGGAGCACCCAACCAAGACTACAAGCCTCAGTACTACAGCATTGGTGATGTGAGTTGGACATGCATGTTTTCTTTGCCTCTGGTGACCCCTCCTGTTAGCTGTTGTGTAAATTGCCAAAGTCCTCTGAATTTCCACCTTCATACAATAATAAAGCAAATTTGCCCAGTCCAGGAATGTTGTAAAGACAAGATATAAAAACAAGTTTTTTTTCTTTTTTAAGGACTACTGCAATTTTAAGAGGTATGTTTCTCTGCCATAAACCTTCAGTGTCTCTCTAGCACTCACAGAAGAACAAAATTCCTAAATCAGGCTATCCTGAATCAATCGTGACTTAGTAACTGAGATATTTTTTCCTCATGACTAGCAGCAATCTTATGCTGAGATGTGCACTTGTGTGCACATATCCTTTTACCTTCCCACTACCTCTTCTGAGCAGTTCCTCAGAACAATCTGAGAGACTGCCCCTGGACTATAGTCCTCAGTAAGTCTCCAAATAAAACTGAAATTTACAGTTTTTACATGCATTTTTATTCCAATTGACATATCTATAAAATGAAAGTATTATAAATACCTGCCCAACAGGATGGTTGAGAATTTAAAAATTAAGAATTGAGCTGAGTGTGAGCTGTTATTAGAAACACGAAACCTGTCTTTTCCAAACCAAGCTCTTTGCACAAGCTGTATCCTGTGTTCAGAAAGCTCATTCCTAATTTTCTTTGTTTACTTCCACTTTTTCTTTGATACCAGCTCACTGGGAACTTCCTTATGGAAACTGATCTCGAAACCCTGAGTCCTCTGTATTCTTGATCAGTCTCCCGATCTGTGTTTTAACAGTACTCTTTGCTTCATGACATTTTTCATATCCATGTCTTATTTGCATTATTCTTTGATGGATGATATCAACATCACCATTAGACACAAGGGTAGTGTTGAAGGGGGAAACAGACGGAACAGGCTCCATATTGAAAGCAGGACTCCATCTTGGGCCAGACAGGGGAATTTGAGCTGTATGTCCAGTATCTATGGAAAGGACATACCAACTGGAAAACCAGACCCCTGGATGGAAGAGCCCCAGGGCTCATACCTAGACTCTCCATCACCTTAAAGAATACCCTAATTGTCTGTGCAACTGAAAAGAATCATAAATTCTATTAGGCTTTTCGGGGTATGACCACAGGCTATTGATAATTGTCCACTGTTAACTGCCTAGGCCTAAGGCATATGAATCATGGGTTATCTTTGATTGTATCTTTCTTTTCTTTTGTTCAGACTAGTTTCAGGGAATTTGGGGAAGTGAGGTTGGGCACATACACTTAAGGTATATAAGGTTTTCACAAAAACTGCTTGGGATCCTTGGCTAAGAGGAGACTCTGCCTTGGGCCTGCTGGTGTAATAAACTGCACTCCACTATCTGCATTATCCTTCTGAGTGAGTTTGTTTCCCAGAACATATGGCTACAACAGTGTCATGGGCCAAATTATGTCCCCTTAAAATTTATATGTGGAAGTCCTAACTGCCAGACCTCTGAATGTAGTTGTACTCACAGATGGGGGCCTAAAAAGGTGATTAAGCTAAAATGAATTTGGGTCTTTAATCCAATATAACTATTGTTCCTATAAGAAGAGATTGGGATACAGCCATGCACAAAGAAAGGGCTATGTGAAGACCCGTGAGAAAGTAGCATCTACAAACCAAGGAGAGAGGCCTCAGACTGAAACCAACCCTGCTAACACCTTGATCTGGGATTTACAGGATGAAGAATGGAGGGAATACATCTCTTTTATTAAAGCTGCCCAGCTCATAGTACTTTGTTATAAAAGCCCAAGCAGACTAATACAGATAACAACCAGTTGGCTTTGCTTATCCTTGTGTGTCCCCAGTCCAGGACTGAGTAGGCACTCAATAAACATTGACCAATGAGTGAATGAAAGTGCTGAGAGTCCAGTAGTAGCTCTAAGGTCAGTTTCCACCTGCTTCTTCTCTGCATGGTTGGTTTCAGCTGCTCAGAGCAACCCTTTCCATTTCTGTGCTTCTGAGACATGACTTCAGGTCTCTGTATTTTTCCTGGGTGAGACAACATGCTAGCATTTGGAGCTGATGTGTTTGTATATGGAGGAAGAACAAGATATGAGGCAGAGTGTGATATTCAGTGATCATTTCTCTAAAATAATTTTTTTTTTCATTAAAAGAGTTAAATATACTCACTGAAAAACTTGGAAAATAGAGAAATGTGGGGAAAGGAAAAATCTATCACCCATTATTTTCAATACTCAAGAAAATTGCTATTAACATTTAGTGTATCTCCCTCCGGTCTTTTTTCTTCTGTAGATTTTCCTTTGTCATACAAATAGCTGTGGTTCCCCACTACATATATTATTTTTATTCAGACAAAATGAATTTAGCCCATTTTCCCCAACACACATGTTTAATGGCCAGCTGCAAAACATGTTATTGAGTTAATCTATCACAATTTAGTTAATCATTGCCCTATTACTTAGGCATTAATTTTTCCGCCCAATTTGTCACTGTTTTAAACAATTCTATAGTAACTATCTCTTGAATATTTTGTTTTGTAGTGATTTCCAAAGATGGAGTTTCTGAACTAAAGAGTATGACTAATTTTTTTGGCCCTGGAGTATGATTACCAAATAGCTTTATCAAAAGGGTCAAGTGGTTATACTGCCCCTGGCAGTAAGATCACAAGTGCCCCCAACACTCTGGTGACCTGTCCTTTGGAGGGCTAGCTAAAAGCTTATTAAGAAGTAAGACCAGTGGGCAGCTACTGAGGATACCTCCAGACAGATGAGGAAGTCAAGCCACTGAACAGTTGCTAGACCGGGCAGTGGCTCTGAACTGGTGGTTAATGATGTTCTCTGCTTTCTTCCAGGGTCATCCAGTGATTCTAAAGACGCCCATTTGGAGACTGCAAGCCTTCAATTTCAGTAGGGTTGAAAGTCTGATGCTCCAAGTGGGGATTAACCAGTGATCCCACCAGTTCCTCTTAGAAGTTTCAGCGACTTATGGGACCTTTCTGGGGTTGCTTCTCATTTCCCCACTCTTGATTTCTCAATTTACTCCTTTGAATCTTTCCAGAAACCGTCTTTGGAAGTTCTGAAACAAAGGCCATCTAATGACCATAAAAACAAAAAACAAGAAAACTCTTTACAATTATCATTTCACAGCAAGACTTCTGTCCTGAAAGAATCATTACCCTCTGACATGTCATTGGAAAGCATCCATGATTCCTGGTTTTCCCCAAATGGCAACAATAAAAACAGCTGGCCTGGAATACATGCACTTTCCAAAAGCATTTCAGTACCACCCACTGAATCTCGTTTATGCCAATTCTTAGGGTGGGCACACAGCATGCTCTAAGGAAGGCCCAGTGAAGAAACAGGGAGACATGGATGAAGCAGCAGCTAGAGTTACACAGTCTTCACACTCCTAGTGCCTGGCCCTGAGTAGGAGTGCTAGGAGCACATACCCATTTGATTTCCCAGCTTTTCAAGTCCTAGGACTTCCATATGTTTACCTTCCTGGGGTACTTGTATGGAGCAGTCACCCTTTTCACATGCTCCTGGAGTTCTTGGGTTAGTTTCTCTGGGTCATGAGAGGAATAGGCTGGAGAAAGAACTATAAATGCCTTTACCACCTGTTGAGAAAACCAAAACCAAACAAAGGAAAAAACAAAGAATCAGTCCCCATATAACAACTCTTTTCTCTTTAACCAAGCCTTGTGAACAAGTGCTTACATTTACCAGCTCAACATGAAACTTTTACCAGTGTCTTGGACTCGGCCAGCAAATTGGACACCAATTTTTTTCTGTTGTTTGTCTGCCTTTTCAGGATCAATCATTGGGAGTAATTATTGGGAATTATGGCTTTTATGGAGTGATTTAGAATCCTATTTACCAAACTCTTCCCCATACATGAAATGACACTGTTAGAAGCCAACATGCTTCTCTTAAGATGCCAGTACTTTGGAGAGAGGACATTCACAGCCTCCTTCAGGCTCCTAGTGTGCCTGAGTCTGCTTAGTCACTCAGTTGTGGCTGACTCTTTGTGACTCCATGGACTGTAGTCCACCAGGCTCCTCTGTCCATGGAATTTTCCAGGCAAGGATACTGGAGAGGATAGTCATTCCCTTTTCAAGGAATCTTCCCAACTCAGGGATCGAACCCAGGTCTTTTGCATTGCAGGTAGTTTTTTGTTTTTTTTTTTAACCATCTGAGCCACCAGGGAAATCTTTTAGGGCTCATTACTTACAGGTTTTCCTATCTACGAAGGCAGCTAGGAATAGGCTTGGAGAGGCAGGACTGGGGGGAAATTTATACCATTTTCAAGGGGTGGTGGGTCTTTCTGAGACTGCATGTATGAGTATTTGCAATCAGCAAGCATTTTTCTGCACAGCTGTTTCAGGCATCCTGAAACATCCTGAACATTCTGTACCTGGCTCTCTCTGCCCATATCTTTCTTGCAGGTTGCCTCTTACTAAGGACAAGAAACAGTCCAAAACTCAGGCACAATAGAACATGGTTTCTGATGGAAACCATGGAAGAGTTCATGGAAGAGTTCAAAAGGCCAGCATACAAGTCTGCCAACAATACCCTAAGCAGTGGTTCACTGTCTTTACATACATTCCAGTGGTGGGCATCTCATACCATTTTAAGTGCAGATAGATCTGGCTTTTAGGAAGGGCCTTCTCTTACTGTTAAAACTATCCAGCATTTATCAAACAGTTTCTATGTGCCAGGTTCTATTCTGAGCACTATACTTGACTTACCTTTGAACACACAGGCATTTGTCACAGCCCCAGTTAATTTGGGGCATTCAGGACTAGACATACATTTCCAGGTACAATTTCTGTACCTCAAAGATGGGACTCTCGTCTCCTTCACTGTATATTAGAGGTCTCAAATTTTAGTGGGTATCAGAATCACTTGGCTAGGGGCTTCTGGTCAAAAATGAAGATTCCTTAAGGCTGCAACCCCAATCACTTTGATTCAACAAGTCTCACTTTAAGTCTAGAAATCTGTATTTTAAACAAAACTCCAAGAAGATGCAGCTGTGAGCAGTCCAGGGTCAAGACTTTGCAAATCACTCCTCTCTCCTGAGGCTTCTGAGGATGCAGCTTGATCTTGTACTAACTTTCATAAAGTAACTACATTATACATCAGGATTATGTTGGATTTACAGCCACTGAAAAGTTCATATTTCTGCCTATGAGTTTATTTCTCTCATACTGTCCCTTCTTCTGGGACCCATTGGAAGGTATTTGCATATTTCCTGAGAAAGACCAGCTTATTAAAATTGGCTCATCTTTCTGATATATCATGGACTTCCCAGATGGTACTAGTGGTAAAGAATCTGCTTGCCAATGCAGGAGACACAAGAGATACAGGTTTGGTCCCTGGGTTGGGAAGATCTCTTGAAGTAGGAAAGGCTGCCCCACTCCAGTATTCTTGCCTGGAAGATCCCATGGGCAGAGGAATCTGACAGGCTACAGTCTATGGGGCTGCAAAGAGTCGGACATGACTGAGTGGCTGAGCACATCTGACATATCAAGCTCACTTGGGATATTTATTGTGTCATCCCTCAAGTTGGCTATCCCTACCAGGTCACAGCCAACAGTGACCATGTTTGGCATGCTCACTATACTCTCATCTGCAAATGGAAAAGGACCTTTTATTGGACAGGATGAATGACAAAATCTGCACCTGCCACCAACATCTCCATCTAATAGCCCCTTTTGGATCCAGTTCCACGTCCAGTTGACACCAAAATGTTTATATCTTCCCATGGTGTCCCTCTGGAGAGTATTTGTATCCTTAAAGACATGAAGGCAATGCTTAACCAAAAGACATGTGTATTTGCCTGATGGTGGCATTTCAGGCTTTGCAGTACCTGGATGGAGTGAGATATGGGAGAACCTGCGCCTTCCAGGTTACTCTGCTGGGTGCTGGTGAGTACAGAACCAGGAGATAATGCTCTTGGTTGGACTAGTTACCTCCCCTCTGATGGGGTCTGGGCTGCTGACCACAGCAGACTCCAGGACAGCTGGGTGCTCAGCAAGTGCACTCTCCACCTCAACAGGCCCGATTCGATAGCTGGAAGAGAAAAACAAACTCTTTCAAGGGTCCTCCTCTCTCCTGCGAAACTTCAAAGGAAGAAGGAAAGTGTAGACAACTTGACCTTGAGGAATTGATCACGTCATCATCTCTTCCCATGAACCAAAAGTAGCCATCCTTGTCCACGTGGGCTCGGTCCCCGGTGATGTAAAAGTCCCCTCGTTCTGATGCTGCTGTCTTCTCAGGGTTGTCCTGAAAGACACAGTGAGCCCATTAAGGGCCATCTGAACACAGTCACTCATTACTTATGGCCTGAGCAGTCCCTTGCAGATGTCTGAGGACCCCTCAACAGGAAATCCAGTGGCCAGAAGTCCCCACTGGACAGGGAGCTGTGAATCTGTGGGTTTTCCCTTTTTTAACTGAAAGGAAGCTGCCAGAAAATTATTAAGGACAGACACTCACTACCATCTTTAGAAGTGTCTAGGCAGCATACTTGTGGGCAGGGGGGTGGGCACAGGGCTGTTAGCTCTGTCTTTTTTTTAAAATTAATTTATTTTTTAATTGAAGGATAACTGCTTTACAGAATAGTGTTGGTTTCTGTCAAACATCGATATGAATCAGCCATAGGTATACATATGTCCCCTCCCTCTTGAGTTTCCCTCCCACCTCCCTCCCCATCCCACTCCTCTAGGTTGTTTCAAAGCCCCGGTTTGAGCTGGTTTTTCAGGATAAAAGAGCACACTGATACTCTTTGTGCTCAGCAATCGCTGAAAATAGAAAGGGGATGGTTGGCAAAAGCAAAGGTAGAGGAAAGAAATAAAACATCAAATTCTGATTCTCAAAGCTTAAGTAAAAGCTACTGCTCAGCAGGAAAAAGGAACAAGTTATCGGCACATGCAGATGAATCTCAAAAATGTGTGCTGAAAAAAAGAAAGCACACACACACAAATTAATACTTTGATTCTATTTACATAAAGTTCTTTTTTTTAATAAAGGGGAAAGTTATTCTTCAATGGTGACAAGCAATTTAGCAATTGCCTGGAGTCTAGGTGTTGACTGCAAAAGGGCACAACAGAACTTCTGGGGGAAATAAAAAATGCTATATCTTAACTGCCATGGTGGTTACACAGGTGAATACACATGTCAAAAGTCACTGATCTGTACATGTAACACAGGGGCATTTCATTGTATGTAAATTATACTTTAATTTTAAAAATGCATTCTGGAAAATAAAGAAAAGGCTAAGCTATCAATACCTAAAAATAAATCTAACACAAAATCTGTAAGAAGCATATACAGAAAATATAAAACTCTATAGAACATCAAAGAAGATATGCATAACTGGAAAGATACACTTAATATCATAAATATGTTAATTATCCACACATTGATCTATGAACAATGCAACTTCAACTAAAATGCTAACAGTTTCCAGGGAACCTGACAAGCTGATTCTAAACTGACTATGAAAGAAAAGAGAAATAAGAGTAAGTAGGTAAAACATTTCTCAAGAAGTTAAGTAAGAAGGAGAAACTTGTTCTATTAGATACTGAGACTTAGGGTAATGTTTTTGTGAATGCATCTCTAACTTTCTCAGGGTAATGATGCTTGTTGTCAGGCTGGGCACAGGAATGTACTCAATGTGCTGCCATCAGACCAAGGCCCTCAGGAGGGAATGTTCTACACAAAGTGTAATAATCATATTACTCTCAAAGTGGGGGACCTCTAAGTAGTCATAAAAAATGAATTTTTCCCAAAATACTGAGTGCCACAAAAAAGACTCATGACATAATGTTAAAAAGTACATAGTACAAAGCTGTGGTATGGTATGGTGCCAATTATATGTGAAACTATACTTGAGGACCCTTTCATTGTAAAAAATTTATCATTTCTGTATTATATAATCATATATTTCTTATAGAATAAATACAAAATAAAGATGAAGGATGACCAAAGATCAGTCTCACTATTCAGATAACTAAGGCTAAAAATTTGATCTTGTATATGGGAACTTTTCATGGCTTATCTGTGATTCTAGGCATATACACATTTGTGTGAATGCAAAATATTCAGTTCTATGTATTTCTAAAATCCAATTTTACTTTAGTTAACAATATATCATGAACATCTCCTCAGAATAATAAAAAGTCTAATGAAATATAAGATAGTTGCATAATATTCCCCCGTGTGACTGCAATATTATTTATTTAAACAATTTCATGTTGTTAGAAATTGGATTAATTTTCTTTTTAGTTCTTTCCCTTTCCTTTTTCTCATTTTTCTGTCTTTCTCTCTCTTCTTTTTTTTTTAATATGCAGTGCTATAATATCATTTATGTAACTAATTTCCCACTGTTAGAAATTCAGATAGTACATCCACAATTTTTTGTCTGTTATAAACAGCATTCTAATGAACATCTGGCATTTGACAGTTTGTTTCCATAGGAAGATAAGTAAATTCCTTATACTGGGCATAAAATTGACGTAGGCACATGAGTTTAATTGACAAGGAGAATCTCAGCTATTTGGAATATACACACTAATGAAGGGGGATGAGCTTACCTGGTCAGTCCTACTGACAACTCAGCATTCAAAGAGCAACTCTGGCCTGACAACGTCTATTAATTTTCAATGTTCCATGATTCTCATGAAGAGATTAAATGCTTTAAGAATTTTCTTTGCTAAAAATCACCCAGAAACAAAATTAACAGCTAGTGCTAGGATGAAATGAAAAAGTTGAAGAAAGGAAATGTTCTCGTTAGGAAAAAATGTTACATTGACTCTCAATGGCATGATCACAGACTCACAAAGGTCCTGTATGGAAGCCCTATGAGGACGAGGGTCTTATCTTTCCTGTCCAGTGCTGTATACTTAGTGGCATGAAGTAGGTACTCAGTGAACACAGGAATAAATTCTTCAGGAAAGTCAAGGATTTACTTTTGTTTACAAAAGTGATTAGAAGAAAATGCATTTAAATTTTCACATCATCTCTGCTTGATGGAATTACTGTCTTGTTATTGTTATTTTGTAGGTAGCTTTCTATGACTTTAAATGGAATGTCATGAAAGATTTTCCGCTTGTAATCACAGAAAAGTCACAAAATACATGTGCAGCATTTCAAAATCAAATGGACTGCTTCTTCCAATATTGCTGCTGACTGATGGCTTAGTATACACAGCAGATGGAGTTCCTATAAAGTTGGGCCACACGTAGGGATCACCTGGGGAATTGATGCCCATTCTCAGAAAGTTGTCTCTCACTGACTTGAAACTTGAGTATCAGTAATGTGTGAAGCTTCCAAGCTGCTACTAATGAGCATCCAGTATTGAGAACCAGGTCAGCAGAGTTTTGTAGAGAAGAGTTTGGAGAAAACAGAATCTGTCATAAACACCACCCAAGGTGGGTATAAGGGAGAATTAATTACTGGATTATCACAGAAACTTGGACTGGAAACCCAGGACACAAGCCCTGACAGCAAACCCTTATCCACACAAGATTCAGGGCAAAGAGCCCTGAAAACTTGGCTCTTCTAAGAAATTTTAATTTGACCTTTGATAAGTCCCTTCCCTTCTCTGAACCTTGATTTTATCATCGGTAAAATAATCGAGTTGCCTTTATGTCATCATTAAATGATGGAGTGTGTCCTTAGACACACCACATTTAAATCCCATGTCCTGTACATATTAATACTAAGTTATCAATATTGGATAAGTCACTTCATCTTTCTATAGCAGCCTCCTTATTGATGATAACATCTTATCAATATTAGTGCCAACTCATGCAGTTATTGCAAAAGTTAAACAAGTAAATACTTATAAAGCATAGAGCACCATGCTTGGCACAGTGCAATTGCTGTGAAAATGGCCATTCCCTGTTACTTACCAAATAGCACGTGAAGAAACAGAAGGGCCTGGTGGGTCTGACACGGATAGCAACGTTCCCTTCTTCTCCAGGAGGTAAGATGTTGCCCTCCTCATCTACAACCTGGCAGAGAGATCACAGGATGGTGTCTTGATGTTTGTACAGCCAGGCCAGCCTGCCGGCTGTCTGCTATCGCTAATCCAGATATGTGTGTTTGCTGTCTTCTTCAAGCCTTATTGACAGTTGGGAGAGGCTGCCTACCTGCACATCATATGGTGGGGACGCTTTCCCCATGGATCCTGACTTGATTTTCATCCCTTTTGGATTGGCACAGATTAGAACCTGAAGAGAAACCAGAACCAATAAGGAGGCGGCTTATCTCCTTAGTCTCCTTCCTGGCCCATGCCTTTCCTTTCACTCTGCCTTCAAACTCTGTCTCCTTCTTTCTTGTTCTTCCTCTCCCCTTCCTTTCATCTTTCCTTTCTTCCTTCCCTCCCTTTCCTTCCTTTCTTCCTTCAGTTCTTTCCACAGAGAACAAACACTTATGGAACACTCAATCGGACACTCACACATAAAGAACTTAAGCTGTCACGAAGCTAAAAGACTCAATTAATCACCACATCTGTGCCCAAGTGGCTGTAGAAAATGCTGTTTAAGATTGGGCTCTGACCAGAGACAGACATGGGCCGTCCTGGTGGAGACAAACACCTCAGCCACAAGCGTTGGTTTGCTGGCTATGGTGTCATTGTGAAATTAAATTACCTTTAAAACAAAGGAGAAGAAAGGCCGATTGTGTTTCTAGCAAAAGCTAGTGTTTTGTCACTAGCTTCTCCTCCTTGTGAATGGGGAATGGATTTCCCTGGTGGCTCAGATGGTAAAGCATCTGCCTGCAATGCAGGAGACCTGGGTTCGATCCCTGGGTGGGGAAGATCCCCTGGAGCAGGAAATGGCACCCCACTCCAGTACTCTTGCCTGGAAAATCCCATGGACAGAGGAGCCTGGTGGGCTACAGTCCATGGGGGTCACAAAGAGTCAGACACGACTGAGCAACTTCACTTCTCCTCCTTGTGGACGGGGCAGTCCCTGAAGGTGTCACAGAGACGACAGCCAGAAACGCAGGAGGCTCTGCAGACCAGCTATCCCTACGGACTGGCTGAGGGCTCAGGTGGAGGTGACCAGGGCAGGGACTGGCCTGGCAGTACTCACGGTTTCAGACTGGCCATAGCCTTCGTGCAGCTCCAGGCCCGTCTGGCACTTCCACTTTTCCCTCACATCAGGAGTCAGAGCCTCCCCTCCGGTCACACAGTGTCTCAAGCTCTGAAACTGGTACCTTTCTCAGCCAAAAAAACAAGGCCACATATGTCAGAATCCCTATGCCCAACCCCATACTCTAGCACTTCTGACAGATACCTCGAGGCGCTAAAGCATAGGCTCCCATACTTATAAAGATTATAAATCTGCCCCAAGTGCCCTGACCTTGCAGGCATGGACAGAGAATTTTTTTAAAAATCTTATCTGAGTTTGAAATAATATCAGAACCTCATACAGTAGGCTTTGGCATAACACTGGTGAATTCCACATGAATTGGTCAAAATGATTAAGTTGCAAACAAACTGATTGATAATAAGTTGGTTAGGACAACCACCTGTGAAAAAGAGAAATCAATTAACAACTAAGAAAAGTAGCCCTTTAGAAACCCCAAAATTCTGACAGATATTAAATATGATGCAAAACTATTCAACAAATTATTCAAAATGTGAAAGATAAGAGACTGTAAATAAATTTGTGATCATTTCCCCCTTTGGATTAAATTGGTTTGGCTATTACCTAATATTACCAAGTATCTTTCAATCACTTTCTGCTTGAACAAATCATTCTAAGTCTGCTTTTGATCAAATCATGCTGTGTAAATATTCACAATAGATCAATGGATATGAAGAATTCTTACATCATAGAGAATTAACCTTGAGAATCATGGAAGAACTCACTCTTTTAGGCACTTTATGACCAGATATGTGAGATTAGGGAAGATAAGGGTGGTTGGGACATCTCCCATTATTTGGGAGAGAATAGACAAGGGAGACAGAGATGAGGGTCAGTAGGTTACCAGTGGGCAAGGACCTCTCTCTACCCACCCCAGCAGTGAAACTCGCCTTACCAGAAGATGTTGCTTTGGATTCACCCAAGATGGGAGCCATCTGCAGTATCTTGTCACCTTCTGTTGGGTGTCCAGTGGCATTCACTTAAGAATGGCTGGCTGGTGTTAGTATGGGACTAGGGATGGAGCTTTCATTGTGGTGGATTTGTTAGTCTCAGCAGACCTAAGGCTCTGGCCACAAACCTATTCCACAAGTGATTAACAATTATCCATCAATTTTTCTAATCTCATTGCTGAGGGAATGGCCTATGGGTATATGGGTGTAAGCACCGAAATTTCAGACTGTTAAGTTCTACTCAGTTCAGTTCCATTTGGTTGCAAATTCCTGGGGGCCAGAAGTTCATTCCTAAGAGGTGTCCACAAAGGATATGGGTATATATGCTTGTGAGTATGTGTATACATGTGTGTGTGAGAGAGAGAAAGAGACAGACACTGAGAGAAAGAAAATTGGAATAAGAGGGGACTCGTGTTATAAGGGGTTCCTGTGCTATATATTTAGATACTTGGGTATCTAAAAGCACCAAAGCACCAAAACAATGAGCCATACCTGCTTAGATCCTCCTGCACAAGTAGACGGAAGATGGTGGGGACACAACAGAGGGTGGTGATCGGGAACCTGGACAGAGTCTAAACAAAAACAAAGTGTGGAGACCTTCTTAGAGTTATGAGGGTGGGATTTCACGGAGGGGGAGTGGGTGAATCAGGTCTTTTTATATTTCCATTACCAGAGGAGAAGAGTTGAAAACGCCATGTGGTACCCAGCCTCCAAGATGGCCTGGAATGATTTCTACCTACCAGTATTCAAACTCGATCCCCTCCCACAATGTACCAAATTTGGTCTATGTGACGAATAGCCTAACACAGATGTGGCATTTGGACTACAGCTTTCCCTTGGGCACTGTCACTGGCTCTCTGTCTCTTGGCTCACTCACTCTGGGAAAAACAAGCTGCTGTGTTGTGAGTACACTCCAGTCGTCCAATGGACAAGTTCACATAGTGAACAACTGAAGCTTCTGTCTATTTAAGAACCGATGAGGAATTGAAATTTTCTAAAACCTACATAAGCGCAGTTTAAAACATAATCTCCAATCCCAGTCAAATCTCAAGATAGCTGCAGCTCTGGCTGACATCTTTTTTCTTATTATTGTGATAAACATAACAGAAAAGTTACCATTTTAACTACTTTTAAGTACAGTCCAGCGGTATTAAGTAAATTCATGCTCTTTTGCAATCATCACCACCATTCACCTCTAGAACTTTTTGTAATCTTCCCAAACTAAAACTCTCTATCTCTTACATGATAACTCCTTATTTCCCCTCCCCCCATCCTCTGACCATCTATTTTGTTTCCATGAATTTGATTACCCTAGGTATTTATATATTATCTGTCCTTCTGTCCTATATATTATTTCACTTAACATAATGTTTTCAAGATGATGTAGTATGTAGCAGAATTTCCTTCTTTTTAAAGGCAGAATAATAATCCATTGCAAGTATGTGTCACATTTTATCTGGCTTGATAGAACTTGGATTGCTTCCACCTTTTGACAATTATGAATAATGCCACTATCGACATGAGTATAGCTTTCTGACATCTTGACTGCAACCCTTTGAGAAATCCAGATCCAGATCCACTTGGAAGCTGATTCCCGATTCCTGATCATCAGAAACTGTGAGATAATAAATAATTATGCTTTAAATTTCTATGTTGTTTTAGTTCCTAAGTCATGTCTGACTCTTTTGAGGCAAGAATACTGGAGTGGGTTACCATTTCCTTCTCCAGGTGATCTTCCCAACTCAGGGATTGAACCTGTGTCTCCTGCATTGGAAGGTGGATTCTTTACCTCTGAGACACCAGGAAAACCCCTTTTTAATTAATGTATTTTGGAGTGGTTTACTACATAGCAGTAGATGACTAACACACTACTTCAGAGTTGGGGGAAGTGGAGGGAGAAGGCACACATTGGTCTATCAAGCCCTGGACGAGTAATAATGATGGTGAGTTTGATAATGATGATAAAATAATTAATATGTGTTAAGAACCTACTACGTGCCAGGCCATATACCTAATATTATTTAATTCCCATAACAGCTCTCTAGAACATTATTATCCCTTTCTTCACTGCCAGTGAGAAACATGAGGTTCAAGGAGATTACACGGCTTTCCCAAGAAAACACAGCAAACAAATGGAAGATGTAGGATCAAAGGCCAGGTTTGACTAATGGCCCAGCCTGTTCTATTAGCCACCATGTTATACAGCTTGCCTCAATGCAAAGAACATGGGCAGATGGTTCCTCTGATATTTTAAAAAATTGTGGTTAGGATGTGGAGGGCAGAAGAAAGATGCCCTATATCTTCACTGGGGACATGGATTATGAGAAAATCCTGGAAGGATGGGCTGGAGAGTCTAGGGTTGGGTGAACTATCTATGCTATGCACCATGGACAGCAGCACACAATGTTGAGGAGGAGGTTATAATTTTCCCCCAAGGTGTTGAGAAATAACTCTGGTTTTGACAAGAGCACGAGGAAGAATGTAATACCAGAAAAGGCACTCCACAAAAAAACAAATAGAACATGCAAAGGTTTGGAGATATTAAGTGGTCTTATGTCTAGGAATATAGCTAAAGGATGGGCAATGATTCAAGACAACCAGGAGGGCATGAACCAGATTATGGAAGGTCCTGGGAGATTTTTGGGTTAATATCAACATCAAAGAAACTTTATAGTCACTGATTCATGCTTTTTATCCTGCAAACTCAAAACCTATATCCCACTCATCTAATTTATACCCAACACAGAAGAGGTGTTTTTGTCTCTTACATTTAGGATAAATTTGGCATCAACCCGGGGCAACTCATGCACAAAAATGCAAGATCCATTAGGCCAGGCAGAGAAGAAAGTCCAGGCTGCCTTCACCCAGCCAGTGTCGGTTGTGTTCCAGAAGATGTCTGATTTGGTCAAGGCCACCCACCTCCTGCCAGAAATGGGAGAAAATCAGAACCCTCAGCAATTTTTCTACCTTTAAAAAGAGTTACATCAGTCTGTTCTCCTCTTTGGAGCCTTCCTTACTCACTTACACTTGTCATATATGTATAAGAACCATAGAGCCAAACTGCCTCCAAAGCATTTATTGAGCATCTTCTATATTCTTATCTCCTAGGCCAGAATCAAAAAGACAAATGTCCTGCTTCCAAAGACTTCAAAGTCTAGAGTGATACTTAAGGGAACAAGTAATCTCAGTGTAATATGGAAGGGCACTTTATTTATTCAGTCAATATTTATTCAGTATTTATCTTGCCCTGACCATTAGGGATAGAGAAATGAATGATTAGTCTTGCTTGGAGGGGCTTATAGTTTAGTAAGTATAAGCATAAACTTGGCATCATCCTTGAGGTTTGTCTCTCACCTCTCATCAAATCTTATTAGGTCTGCATTCAAAATACTTTCAGGATCACACTTCCTCTCACTCCTTCCGCTGCTATTCCCCCAGGCAAGCCTTTACCTTCGCCTCTCAATGCACTGGCCTCTTAAGTGGCCCTCTGCTTCACCTTTGCCCCCTACAGTTTATTCTTAACCCAATATTCTGAGTTATCCTTTAAAAAAAAGCAAATCATATCTGGTCACTCCTCTGCTAAGAATACTCCAGTGTTCCTCAAAAAATTACATAGGATCACCATGTTATCCAGCAATTCTACTTCTGATTATACATCCAGAAGAATTGAACAGATATTTGTCCACCCATGTTCACAGCAGCACTATTGACAACAGGTAAAAGGTGGGAGCAGTCCAAGTGTCCATCAGTGGATAAGCAATGAATAAGCAATATTAGTATAGACACAATGGAACATTATTCAGTTCAAAGAATAAGAAGGAGATTTCTTTCAAAAAAGAGGAGGAGATTCTTACATAGGCTACAACATGAATGAACCTTGAAGGCATTATGCTTAGTAAAATATGTAAGACACATAAGGAAAAATATTGTATTTTTCTACTTTTATGAGGTTCCCAGAGTAGTCAAATTCATTAAGACAGAAAGTAGAATGGTTGTTTCAGAGCTGGGGGTAGGAGGCATTAGGGAGATTTTGTACAATGAGCACAGGGTTTCAGATTTGCAAGATGAAAAAGTTTTGCAGTTGAATGGTGGGGATGATTGCAAAAAAATGTGAATTTATTTAATGACACTGAACTATACACTTAAAATGTTTAAAGTGGTAAATTTAATGGCACATGTAGTTACCAAACTTAAAAAAAAAAACCCCAAAACAGAAACACCTCCAGTGGCTTCTCAACTCACTCAAAGTAAAGACTAAAGCCTTCTGATTTTACCTGATTTGCCCCCTTGTTAGCTCCTAACTTCGACTCCTGCCGCTTTCCCCCTCACCCACACTCCTTCAGCTCACCTACCTACTTTTCTTTTCTTGGACCCACCAGACAAGCTAACCCCTGGTACCTCCCACTCGCCACAAAACCCAGTCCGTAGCTGGCCTGGGTGTGCTCAACCATCTTGGGGGCCCCAGTCGTGCCGCTTGTGAAGTAGACAGCCACTGGGTCTTGACTCCTGGTCCTTGCACAGTTGTGTTCTGTGGATGCCTCCCTGTAAAATACAAAAATATTATAGGGGTACTGTTAGGAGTGCCAACAGTCACAGTAATATCTATAACAACAAGACAGGCTACATTTGATAAATAGCATGTGTAAGGTACCTGCTGGAAGTGCCAACTTAAGTTATCTCTGACCCCTACAATCACCTCATGGGGTTATAACCATTTGCACATAAGGAAACTGAGGCTCAGAATAATTAAATGACTCACTCAAAAAAACCTGTGCTTTTATCAAGGCATGAGACCTTCTGGTGGAACCAGCATTTATGGGTTCTACCTCAGTTCGTGGTAATTCAGAGTTGTTTTCTTAAGTGTTCCCTAAATTTGGATTTTTGAGATGTGGGTAATTCCTAAAAGTTTTGTGATCTGGAGAATGTTCTAACTCACTATTTCTCAATCCTGGCTGCATCATAGGAACACCTGATAGGTTTTTTGAAATAAATACTATTCTGTGGGCTCCAAGCTGAAGAAAATGGAATCAGAATCTTTGTTAGTGGGGCTGGGCACCATTTTTTTTTTTCTAAGTTCCTTATGTAATTCTAATGACAGCCAAAATTGAGAGCCTGCTGATTCAGACCAGCCTGATGCTCATCAAAATCATGTGGGCAGATCACTGAATATAAGGATTTGGGCCCTTGTTCATATATGTCTGGTTAAGTAGGTCAGCAGAGAAGGCAATGGCACCCCACTCCAGTACACTTGCCTGGAAAATCCCATGGACGGAGGAGCCTGGTAGGCTGCAGTCCATGGGGTTGCTAAGAGGCGGACACGACTGAGCGACTTCACTTTCACTTTTCACTTTCATGCATTGGAGAAGGAAATGGCAACCCACTCCAGTGTTCTTGCCTGGAGAATCCCAGGATGGGGGAGCCTGGTGGGCTGCCGTCTATGGTGTCGCACAGAGTTAGACACGACTGAAGCGACTTAGCAGCAGCAGCAAGTAGGTCAGATGTGGGACCTTAAAATCTGTATTTCAAACCTCACCCCAAAATAAATAAATAAAATGGGGCTTCCCAGGTGGTGCTAGTGGTAAAGAACCTGCCTGCCACTGCAGGAGACATGAGAGATGAGAGTTCGATTCCTGGGTCAGGAAGATCCCCTGGAAGAGGGCATGGCAACCCACTCCAGTATTCTTGCCTGGAGAACCCCATGGACAGAGGAGCCTGGTGGGCTACAGTCCATAGGGTCACAAAGAGTCAGACACAATGGAAGTGACTAAGCACACACTCAAATAAATAAATAAATAATTTCCCATAATTTTATGGTAGAGAGTTTATATTCTATTGTAGGAAAGGACATTCAAAAAAGCATTTACCATGTCCTCAAACTTTTAAATATGTCTTTGTATTTAACTGTATTTCTTACATATATTGATTATTTTCTGTTCAAGTTTCAGCTGCTTATAATTATACTGGGATATAAGGAAAGTACAGACAAGACCATATGTTGGAAATATAATATTTTGTAAAATACAGGACACATTATTTATAACTTGTGCTTGTGAGTCTTATAGTCCTAAAAATTATAATACAATTAAATGCAAGTGACACAAAATTTTCTTTTAAGCTAGGGACAAGAGACAAAGGCTGAGATCAGTCAAAAAAAAAGAAAGTAAAATAGCAGGTGAATCTGATACCCCTGATCTATGAAGACAAGCATTTGTGACTTAACAGTGGAGGCCCATGTGAGGGACCCATTTTAGTTCTGGCCTCCAGTCAAGACAAAATCTCAAATGCCCAGTTTGATTTCCACGAGTCCTTACTGAAAGGCAAATGGCCTTGGTTCGGTCCCAACCTTGACGTCATTACTTAGCATCATCTCAAACACGTCACATTATCTTTCCAGGTCTCAGTTTCATCATCTGGAAAATTAGGGTGAAGTGTACTTTATAGGGTTTTTCAAGGATTAAATAAGACAATGCTGATTCATTATTGTCTGAGTATCAAACACCATGCTTGTCATAAAACAGATGTTAGCTAAATTTTTGTTGTAAGATTGAATGCAGGTGAATGCTTGTGGGGAGCGGCTTGAAAGAGCTGACTCTGGGAGCTGCCTTGATTGATTCTCAAGGGTCTGTCCGCGGACATAGCTCTCTGTCCCGCTACCTTTCTGGAATTTATCATCAAGTTAAATCTTAACAGAACATTGGTAAGCGTTGAATGCACACATGGCGCAGATAGATAGCCTTGCACGACTGCCCTTAAGATAAGTAGGATGCCTTTCTTATCCCTTGGCGCCATGAGAGAGCTCTGGTGATTGTTATCTTGAAGATGATGTACATGGGGAAGAATTTTCTTTGGGATGCCTCCTTCTTGGTTTAGTATAAATGAAGCTTAGGAAAATAAAGAATCATCGCTGACTGCAGCGATCCTCTCGACCCCATCTGTTCTGTGTCTTTAATTCTTAGCCTATAGGAATGTGTCGTGCTTCCCGTTTGAAATCTTCTGGCTGGCCCGGCAAATGCTAACCCAGCACAACACCTGGAATACATGCAGTTCAGTTCAGTTCAGTTGCTCAGCTGTGTCTGACTCTTTGCGACCCCATGGACTGCAGCATGCCAGGCCTCCCTGTCCATCACCAACTCCCGGAGTTTACTCAAACTCAGGTCCATTGAGTCGGTGATGCCATCCAACCATCTCATCCTCTATCGTCCCCTTCTCCTTCTGCCATCAATCTTTCCCAGCATCAGGGTCTTTTCAAATGAGTCAGCTCTTCGCATCAGGTGGCCAAAGTATTGGAGTTTCAGCTTCAACATCAGTCCTTCCAATGAATATTCAGAACTGATTTCCTTTAGGATGGACTGGTTGGATCTCCCTGCAGTCCAAGGGACTCTCAAGAGTCTTCTCCAACACCACAGTTTGGAATACATTAAGCACTCAATATATGGAAGAAATTAGATTATTAATTGGCCACCTACAATGTACTAAGCGCATCATGTAAATCATCTCATTTACTCCATCTGATCATCTGTATTTATTACCACATCATAGAGACAAATACACAAAAAAATCTAGCGACAATTCTAGTACTGACTAAGTGAATAACACTGAAGGAACTTCAGGTAGTCCCCAGGAGGATTAGGTCTCAGGTCTGTCTGGCTTCCAAAGTGATTCACCTTTCTGATTCACTCTCTCCATGTGCAATGAGAAATCCATTCTTTTTACACAGGGGGGAAATGCCTTGGCCTCGTTTTTAAGCTCACCTCTGGAGAGCTCCAACTTACCAGAGGAGTTCCCTGAAGTTCAGCCAGCCCGGCCGATAGCTGTCTGACACGAGCAGCTTGGTCTGAAGGGAAGGGCAGTCGGAGCTAATGGCATCCACCCGTGGGGCCAAGTGGCCACTGGTGATAATGGCCCTGGCTCTGGATGCCTGCAGCCGGAATTTGAGGTCTTTTTCTGTCAGCTGAGAGATGCCGGGAATCATGACGGCCCCTGATACCACACAGAGAGAGGATGTTGACTGGGTGACAGGGAAGACCCCTGTGAACAGGTCCAGACCAGATATTCCCAGATAGAAGCAGGAAAGGGCCAGAGATATTTAAAATGCCTGAACTGGAAAAGGCACTATTAATGATAAAATATTGAAATTCAGAGAATATTTACAGAACATTTACACATGCTAAGAACTTTGCATGCATTATTTCATTTAATTCTTACAACCCTGGAAAGTAGATGTTATCATTAAACCCATTTGGCAGATTCGAACACTAAGACCGAGACCTTTCTGCCTTAAATAAATTAACTATCCCAGGATCATACAGCTAAAATGTTGTAGAGCTGTGACTGTGAACCCAGGCAGTGGTAACCTTAAGACTCCATGATCTTGAACACTGTATTACATTGTCCTAGAAATTACCTGGAGAAAGAAATGGCAACCCACTCCATTATACTTGCCTGGAGAATCCCATGGAAAGAGGAGCCTGGCAGGCTACAGCCTATAGCGTCTCAAAGAGTTGGACGTGACTGAAGCAACTTAGCATGCACACACGCAGAGATTACCTAGTTCAATGCTTTTTCAGGCCTTTCAAACAAAAGGCTATAGTGAATCTTAGCACTGGGTGTGGGTCACTTGGGGCAGGGGCAAGGGTATAGCAGTGGGGGCTCCATGGCCCCATATTACTTCAAACAAAACCACTCTATAGTAGTTGAGTTCATCTACTCTCAAGGGGAAGTGATAAGGAAACAGAAAGCAGGGGCAAATTTTAATCAGACACTTGAAAAACCACTTGAACATCTCAGAATGCAGGCTGTAAACACTCCACACTCCACTGAGTCCAACATTCTCATTTCACAGAGGAGAAGAAAGTGATCCTAAAATAATTGGCCACCCAGTGAATGAGGACAGAAGACAGAGGAAAGGGCCAATCCCAAATAGGGTGGAGTCCAAGCAAAACCCTCATTTCCCTTCTCTCCATCTCCTAAACTTTACGGGATTTAAAGCCCAGCATGAACACTTTGGGAGCTGAGCAGTTTGATTCCTCACTCCACCTCTCTGTTTCAGCTGTTTCTAATACAAGTCTGTTCTATCCAGAGCTTTGGTGGCCCAGAGATGGTGGACAGCCGGAGCTGTCAGCAAGAGAAATGAGGTGAACACCATAGACTGGAAGAAAAGTGACAAGTGCTTATCAGGAGAACATGGGGATGTGAGAATGTGAGGTCATTCAGGTTGTGTCGCCTTGGGAATGAACAGGATGCTAGACTTGATGTGGAGATGGAGAACATGGTCTTGAGCTACTTGGACAGCAAAGAAATGGGGTATGTGTATAATTGGGGAAACTGGAGACATTTTTCAGTTGTAATTCCAGAAAAAAATGATAATAATACTGCAAAGAGAAGTTTTGATCATGCAAGGTGCCTAACACAGTGCCTGGAGCAGAGCAGATCCTCAGGATCTCCCTTACCTCAGTCCTCATTTAGATGGATTTTGTATTCATGGCAGAATATGGAGAAGTCCCCAAACCTGTGTGCCTGTTTCTTTTCTTCAGAGCGGGATACACTGTAATGGTGCTCACTTTTATTTGTTGTCCAAAAATAGGTAAAAATTAAGTTTTGGGGAGAACAACTTATTCACAAAATGGTTGGATTAAGCTTGATCATACAGAAAGGTTAATTTTCTGATATGAGTTTGTACTGATTTGCAAACATTTGTGACAACAGATTTCAGGTGGATTGTTCTACAGATACAACTGGAAGGGAGTGGATGACTTTCTGAGTGGTAGAAAGTTCCTAGGGGATGGAGGAACTAGCACCCCACCAAAAATCGATGTCTTGCTTTTGAAAAATCAGCCTAAAAACTCCAGCCCTTTCAACATGTGCATAGGACAGAGCCAGCAGAGGCTCTTGGGGGTACTGAGGGCTATATCCTTTGGCCTCCCCTCCTTTGTGGAAGGAACCATCTGAAGATCAATAAGTTCAAGACAGCAGTCATCCCTGGATGGGTGAGGCATGTGAGCTCTAGTTCACCACAGTCCTCAGCACTCCCTGCTGCCTCACATTGTTAGGGAAATTAAATGAATAGTCTTGTTTAGGCTTCAGAGACAAAGCAGAGCAGTCCTCTGACCTTGCCTCTAACCTTCAGGGACACTGCCCAGACTGGGAGTGACTGCCTGTTGTGAATGCAAGATTTGCAGCACCAAAGATAAAATGGGTTAGAAATCTTGAGATTGTTGAGCCCCTAGAGGGGGCCTGGCCAACCAAGCCCCAGGCTTAGCAACATTCTAAGTTTTACAAGACAAAACAAACAGCATTAACATGAAATCAGCCTTGCGATTTGGTCACAGATTGATGATGATATCAGTTTTTGTAGTCCTGGGATTATAAGCAGAACACTGAACTGCAATCTTTGAAGTCTCACCCATGGAGTCGACACGCTGCCTGGGACCCTTTCCCAACTGGGACTCACAATGTGCTATGACATGGGGCTTCCCAGTGCTGTTTAAGTCTGGATGTTGGTCAAAACCCAATTTGGTGATGTAGTCTCTGCTCTTTCTATTTCTCTTTTCTTTTAATGTTGGTATGTTGAAAGCAAGCTAGATAATTCTCTAATACATGTCTGTATTCTCTATTTGCATATAACGAGTGGCTTACTTTGTTAACAAATCCTTTGAACCTGAGACGAAAGTGGAAAACATTCGACAAAACACACACTGACCTGCTTTGATCAGTTACAGTGCTCTCTGGCCCCTGCACACAATCATGCTGTGATTGGAAAGTAAACAAAACTCCACATGAGGTTCAACTTACTCCATCTCCCAGACATTGTGGATGCTGCCCAAACTCGGGCAGGTTATGTCAGCCCCAACTGGGAGTCTCAACCCGGCTCACTGACCTGTCCGCATACAAGCCACGCTGACCAGCCACCACTCCGGGAGCCGTGGGAGCACCAGCATCATTCTGTCTCCAGGCTGCAGGCCACAGGCACCCTCCAGCACATTAGCCGCCTTCCTGGACTGCTCCCCCAGCTCCTCAAAGCTCCACTTGACCTCTGCTCCTGCACCATCAACCCACCAGAAAGCAGGGATTGGGGGCCGGTGGCCAGCCTAGAGAATTGTATAGACAAAAAAGAAATAGAAGACATGGGTGAGGATTTTTGTTTGTTTGCTCTTCTTTTTTTTTAACTTTTTTTTACAATAGTTATTAAAGTCACAGGGTTAAAAAATCAAAATGATATGAAAAGATATGCATTGAGAAGGCTTCTTCCACACTGGGACTATCCTGCTCCCCACTTCACCTGTCTCAATGAGCAACCAGTATTATTAGTTTCCTGCAAATCCTTCCAGTGCATCTTTAGGCAAACATAAATATATTCTTTTTTTTCATCCCATCTTTTTAACGCAAAAGATAGCCTAAGATTCACACTATTCTGTATCCTCCCTTTTTAAAAACTGAGATGCAATTCTCCTACCATAAAATTTACCATTTTGAAGCACACAATTCAAGGTGTTTTGGTATATTCACAAAATTATGTAACCATCACTACTATCTAACTCCAGAAAATTTTCATTATCCTAAAAAAATGTTTTACACATTAGTAGTCACACCCTATTCTTTCCTTATCCAGCCCCTGGCAACCACTAATCTATTTTCTGTATGGATTTGTCTATTCTGGTTATTTGACATGAATGAAACTATGCAATATGTGGTCTTTTGTGTCTGGTTTCTTTCACTTAGCATGTTTTCAAGGTTTATCCATGTTGTAGCATGTATTGCTGTTACATTCCTTTTAATGGCCTAATAGTATTCTACTGCATGGATAGACCATATTTTGTTTATCCATTCATCAGCTGATGGACATTAGTGTTGCTTCCACTTCCATAAAGTTTTTATCAACATTTATGCATAAGTTTTTGTATGAACATGTGCTTTCTCTTCTCTGGGATATATACCTGTGAGAGTAGTGCTAGGTCATATGATAACTCTATGAGTAATTGCCAAACTGTTTTCCACAGCATCTGTACCATTTTACATTTCCACCAGTAATGTATGAGGTTTCTAATTTCTCTATATTTTTGTTAACACTTCTTAGCAAACACTTTGGTTTTCTTTCCCTATTTTTTCTGTTTATTTCTTCTTGCCCAACACTTTTTTGTTTGTCTGTTTTTGCTTTTAGCCATGTCACTCTGTATGAAATTGTACCTCTTTGTGGTTGGGATTGCATTCCCCTAATGAATAAAGATGTTGAGCATTTTGCCATGTGTCTGTTGGCAATTTGTTTATATTCTTTAGAGAAATGCCTATTTGAATACTTAGCCAATATTTTAATTGGGTTATTCATACATTGCAGATATGTGCTATATATATATATATATATATATATATGTATACACACACACACACATATACATAAATTATATATCTCAGATATGTGATTTTGTGGGTTGTCTTTTCATTTCGACCTACAAACGCTAGAAATTTTCATGAAATTCAATTTATCTACTTTCTTCCATTCCTTATACTTTAGAAACCATTACCTAATCCAGGATATGCACCTATATTTTCTTCTAAGAATTTTATTTTTTTTCTCCTTCATTTAGGTCTTTGATCCATTTTTGAGTTAATTCTTGTATGTGGTGTGAGGTTGGGGTCACATTCTTTTTTTGCATGTGAATATCCAGTTGTGCCAGCACCATTAATTGGAAGGACAATTCTTTCCCCATTTAATTTTCTTGGCACCTTTGTTGAAAACTAATTGACCATAGATTTATGGGTATATTTCTGATTCTTAGGTTTATCCCATTCATCTATGCCTATCGTTATGCCAGTACCAGATTGTCTTCTTCTTTTTTTCCCCACACAGTCTTGATTACTGTAACTTTGTAGTAGGTATTGAAATAAGAAAGTGTGTGTCCACCAGGTTGTGCTTCTTTTTCAAGATTGTTTCGGTTATTATGGGTTCCTTGCATTTCCACATGACTGTTTGGACAAGATTGTATATTTTTGCAAAGTCTACTGGAATTTTGATAAAGCTTACAGTGAATATGTAAATCAATTTGGTATATATTGTCATTTTTTTGCAACTTCATAATTTCTGCCTTAATAACAATTCAGTTTTTAAAACATACAGATCAACTTATTCATACTATTCCTTTATGGAAGAGACTTCAGGTAAGCTTTTAAAAGTATGAATAACATAATACATAATTATTTTCTGGTAGTTCTTGGCTGCTGAAAGTTAAATCTCATCAGATGTATTTTAACATTTTCAGAATAGTCACAAAGGATATGTAATTTTTGCATAATGAGGTAATATCTCTGGGGCATTCTCATTGAAGTACACCCAGATGTTAACCAGAGTGTCTTTAGTATACATTCCCTGGATTACTCTAATCTTTAGTTAGTTTCTAGAATTCTGAAAAGTTGATTATGACTAAGTTTTTTGTTTTGCTTTTATGGAGAATAAAATTTCAGAAAGTCCTTATTCCATCATTTTTGCTGACTTAACCCTCTTTGTTTGATTTTTTTTCATGAGGAGAAGTCTTCTAAGAATGAGCTTGGGTGCATGCATGCTAAGTCGCTTCAGTCCCATCTGACTCTTTGTGACCCCATGGACTGTAGCCTGTCAGGCTCCTCTGTCCAGGGGATTTTCCAAGCAAGAATACTGGAGTGGGTTGCCATTGCCTTCTCCAAGGCAGGAGGGAGCTGCTGTCATCCCCACTCCACAGGCAAGGAGCTGGGGCCACTTCAGGCCCACATAGCCTGTGAGCTTATGAAATCCAGGGGACTACAGAGCCTGGCAGGAAGGTCATTTCAGGGAAGCACTGAATAAGCTTAATGTGGTTTTATTTTTTAAAAAAATCTTACACTTTGTAGATAGTAAAGGAGCACCCTGACCCCAATCTCTTACTTCTCATTTAATTCTCACAGCTCCAGTTGGCATACTGTATGACTCCATTTTTATAGATGAGGTAACTGAGATACAAGGAGCCTAGAGATTGGTTCAAGGTCATGCTTCAAGCAGATAAAGCACATCTGACAGCAAAACTTACTTTTACATCTCAGTCATTCTCATACCACCTCCATACATTTAACCATATCCACTAACGATAGACTATTACCACATCTACTCACAATATTACTTAGCTCATCTTTTTTCTTTAAACAAGCTCTTCTTAAAATTCACATAAATAAATTTCTTTGAGATAAAGTTTATATTCTTCTACTATAAACAAAAGGTATTTTTAACATAGAGTACAGAGAGAGGCACAAGAGACAGACAAGGAAGGGAAGATAAAGAAGGAAGCAAATGCACTGAGACATACAAGGAAGTCAAGATCGTCTGAATTCAATCCTATGTATTTGCTGTGATCTGTGAAAAGTTTGAGCCTGAGCCAAGCTCTCCCCTTATTTAAAAAGGGATGGACCCAAAGTGAGGAAGATACTAAAAACAGATTAGTAGTAGTACAAAACTTTCTCCACTTGCTCAGAATGATTCAAAGGATTTGATTGGGGCATAACTCTCCCCCTGGGTAATTTGGGTTTAGGAATGTGAGAATACTAGGGATTAGGTAGGGGTGTCTAAGGCTCCAAGACTTAGTCATAATAGCTTTTTTAAGGCTTAAATGCTCACAGTTTAAATTTTAAGACTTGCAAAACTCTCAAGCCACGATGTACACATGTCTTATAGCCTCGAGTCTCACTGGGGTTTTGCGAAGGAGGAATCTGATGCCCAAGTTGGACCCTAGGACACCGTGAGCTTCACCTTTTCCAGCTGACTCCACACGTCCAGCACATCATGGGCAAAGTTGAAATACTCAGGCACTGGCTGCCTGCCCAGGCTGATGGCTTCCCAGGTGGCCACAATCTTCTCCGGGACAGGAAGGGGCGGTGGCTGCCCATGAGACCCACAGATACCCCGAGCATTTCTCAGTGCCTGGAGGACCAGTTCTCTTAGCCATAGCCTCATGTTGCCTCCTGCCTGTCATCAAAGAAAAGAGAGAATGTCATCACGAATTTTGGGCTTTAGGGAGACCGAGGCTGGAGAGAAACCTGTGGTCAGCCCTTGGGTGACCACAGCACATATTGCCTTGTAGAGCAGAGTCTTCGGCTTTAATCTGAGTTCTATGGTGTGATTTTGATCATTTCTCCTCCCTGGGCCTGAGGTTCATTTCTTCCACCTTTCACGGCTTGTTGGATCTCTGTGGAGGGCAGGAACTCAGAGCCTACCTCCCAAGGCTCAGTCCTTCAAACTGAATTCCTCAAAAAGCCTTTGGCAAATCCTGAACTGGCCTGACAAGTCTGAAGAAAGCTACAGGGCAGCACCTTCCATATCTTCCATATCTTTTGTGATATGAACCACACCTTCTCCCATAACGCACAACTCTCTGGTAGTTTCATTCAAAAAAATTAAAAAGAAACAGGTGAATACATTTTATTTAACTATTGTGGAATGGAATGGAATGAAGTGAAGCGAGTCGCTTAGTCGTGTCCGACTCTTTGTGACCCCAGGGACTATACAGTTCATGGATTCTCCAGGCCAGAATACTGGAGTGGGTAGCTGTTCCCTTTTCCAAGGGATCTTCCCAACCCAGGGATTGAACCCAGGTCTTCCACATTGCAGGTGGATTCTTTACCGCCTGAGCCACAAGGGAAGCCCTTGTGGAATGGAATACTTCCTGCCATATCAGTGGGCAAGAAATGCCACAGCCATCAGTGATTTTGGGCCTCCAAATGTGAATGCAGGCTCCCAAAAGGGAATGCAACACCTGCTATCCATCTGATGCAATGCTCCCTATGGTGATTGCTGAAGAGCTGGGGGATGGGTGGGAAATGCAAGAAGCAACCATCCACTATATCTGCCATGACTTGTGGTGAACAAAGAATTAAGGATGTAAACAATCAAGAAACAGAGTTTGGCCCCAGATAACTGAGGGGCATATGAGTGAGTGAGTGTTGCTCAGTCATGCCTGACTCTTGCAACACCATGAACTGTAGCCTGCCAGGTTCCTCTGTCCATGAAATTCTTCAGGCAAGATTATTGGAGTGGGTTGTCATTTCCTTCTCCAGAGGGACATATGAAAGGAATGAATTCAGTGAGCCCAGAGGCTAGCATCCTCCTACAGATTGAAGCTAAATTCCTTAATATCTGGTTTTCCATACTTAATAATCTTTGATGTTCATACTGCCTGCCCGCTTTGTTCCAAACTTGTATATAGCCTGACTCCCTTTTCTGCCTCCTCAGAGCGATTTTCTCAGGGCTCCTGAGATGCTGCCTCCTGGGCTGGGAGTCCTTAACATCCCCACCAATTAAAATAATTCTCTACTTTCAAGTTGTGACTAATTTTTCAGTTGACACTAGCTGTATCCTATAATTTCAAACATGTAATCAATATCAGAAGACATTATTAGAGACATATTTTATGTTCTGTTGTTCTTAAGTCTTTGAAGTCCAATGTGCATTTTCCATTTACAGGCACACTTCGGTTTAGACCAGCCACATTCAAATGCTCCAAAAGCTCCACGTGGTTAGTTTCTACTGTATTGGACCAGAATATTTTAGTATCTGGGTATTCAGAGTGTAGTCTATGGACCAGCGACATCAGCATTACTTGGGCACAGGTTACAAATGCAGAACCTTAGACCTCACCCAAGACCTGTGGAATTAGAATCTGCATTTCAACATGAACCCCAGGCCAGCTGAGCACATTAAAGTTTAAGAAGTGAAGCAGTGGCCACGGGACAATATCCCCAGATTCATTTCCTTTCTGCCAAGTTCCTCTTAGTAATAATAATAATAGAATGCAGTAATAATAACTGCCATAAACTAAATGTTTGTGGTCTCCTCAAATCCATATGTAATTTATTCCTAACCTCCAATGTAATGGTGTGAGGAGGTGAGGCTGCTGATTGGTGATTAAGTCATGAGGGTGGAACCCTCATAAAAGAGACCCCAGAGAACTCCCACCTTCCTTCTGCTTGCTGAGGCTAGAACTATGAACCAGGAAACAGGCCCTCACCAGACACCAATCTGCCCACTGTGCCTTGATCTTGCACTTTCCAGCCTCTAGAACTATGACAAACAATGACAAACTTGTTTAAACCACCTAGTATGTGGTATTTTTGTATAGCAGCCAAAATGACTAAGACAACAATAATAATGTGCCAGGATAACAAGAAAAGCAATAACAACTGTCATCTCAAGCATTTGAAAAGGGCTTTATAAATGTTATTTCCTTAAATCCTAATAACTGTGTAATGTGTTATGTTCTCTATTTTACAGATAAAGAAAGCAAGGCTTGGAGAGAAAAAGTGACTTCCAGGTCTCACCTCCCGGAAAGCTAGACCTCAGGCCCTGTGTGGCCACCAGCCCTGCTGTGGGCCAGGCTGGGGGTGGTGGCTGTGGCTTCAGGACTCCCTTTCCTTCACCTCCCTCCCTTACTCCTTACCTCTCCAGAACTCTGCCCCAAGCCCTTTCCTCTGCCTTTCTCTCCTGGATTCCTGGGGTCCCTTGACAGCAGATGTTTAGAATCTCAGGCTTCCTTCCTAAGTGTACAAAGCCCCATTCCCGGCCCTACCCCCTTTAGGCTTAATCAGTAAAGGCTTGGGGCAGCTGACACCTCCTGCCAAGCATTTCTCTTCACTGTACCTTGTTCTTGAACCCAGGAAATGCGAAGACCTCCAGGTTTTGCTTCAGTCGAATGCAGGCAAACCAGGAATGCTGGTAAAGGCAATCTGCTAACTCAGCCTCCTGTGTGAACCTTGGCCCCAAATGCAGCCAAGAGAGGGCAGAGCCTGAAGCCAACAGAGGACGGCGTCAGCTGGTCAGCACACTTGAGCCAGCGAGAGTCGCCCTGCAAGCGTTTTTCACAGCTGGGAGATGCAATTCCAACCCCAGGGCCTGGAGTGTCCTGGACTCCACTAGGGGATATTTTCCCTGAAACTTCAGATCACCATCTAATCCAGAAAGAGAACAGGAACTTTATTGTATTCTGGCAGAAAGGAGGCCATAGCGACAATGATATAAATCAAATCATGTCCCTTTTCTGTGCAAAACCCTCCAGAGACAGGAAACAGACAAGAAGTAGATGGGCAGTTACCTAGAGCAACAGGACACAAGGGATCTCTTTGTTGGAAATGTTCTAAACTGGGAGCGTGGCCATGACTGCACATCTCTATAAACTTCAGTTCAGTTCAGTTGTCGCTCAGTCGTGTCCGACTCTTTGTGACCTCATGGACTTTGCGACCCCATGGGCTCTAGAAACTTACCAAAAGAAATTAACAGTAATACAAATAACTGTACACTTGAAATGAGTGAATTTTTTGGTATGTGAATTATACCTAAATAAAGCTACTAAAAATAACTAAACCTCCTCTGTTGCCTTGTGTCTGTTAGCGTCAAAGTCAAAGTCTCAAAAACAGTTCTCACTGGGCTTATTGGGCTGCAGCCACTGTAGTTTCCTTGTGGGATTGAAGTTCTGGCTTGGGGTGGGGCTGCTGGTAAACTGGTTCTCTGAGAACAAAAACTGCACAATTGACTTACAGTGTTTGCCAGTACCTGCAGTTAAAAATTCCCACCGTGGCCAGTTTCGATTCCCACAAGTTTCAACCCACCAGAGTTGCAAAACTTCTGAATATTAACAAGCTCTCAGGCTGGCTCCGGCCAGTGCTGCTTCAGGTCTTCTTGCAGATCATCTGCCAGGAAGCTCCATCCACATGGCTCAGCTCATGGAGCCTTCAACCCATTCCCTCATCAAAAGTGGAATCCTCTCCCATCTGATGCTTCCTACCCATGGTTCTCTGCTTGACCTTCCTCCCCAGGATTAATCACTTTCTAACAGTCGATATGTGTTAAAATATGTTTTTATTTTTATTTTTCTCCAACTGCACTGAGGTATTGATTCCAGATGCGTGCAGGAGTAAATGGCAGCTGGCAGCAAGCAGCAGCAACAGGTAGCTGGAAGCAGGGTCTTAGTTTCCCAGACTGGAGTCCTAACCACTGGACCAGAGGGGCCAGCAGTTAGGGCTAAGTTCCCTAGTCCTGCCTGCCTAGTCAAGAACGAATTCAGGTGAGGAGGCAGAAGGTAAAGAGTAAAGTAAAAAGTTTATTGAAAGGAAAAGTACAGGCGGAAAGGCGCATGGGCGAGCTCAGAGAGACAGTCGAGCCTCTGGGAAGTTTAAATCCTTTATAAGGGGCATTTCTCCAGGTCTGTCTTCCCTCAGGTCAATCACCTTGCTTTGCTCCACACTGGTTAATTTGTCTCAGGACACTCCCCTGAGGTGCACATGTACACTTTAGCTATTAAGGTGTGGCTAATCTCTTGCACACCATTTGAATCTCAAAGTGAAGTCTTCTGGGAGGAGCAAGACTCATTATGGCCTGGAATCACCCTCTAACTTTTGACTCCAAGGAGCCTTTCTGTATATGTATCAGTTCAGTTCAGTTCAGTTGCTCAGTTGTGTCCAATTCTTTGCAACCCCATGGACTGTAGCACAACAGGCCTCCCTGTCCATCACCAACTGCCAGAGTTTACTCAAACTCATGTCCGTTGAGTTGGTGATGCCATCCAACCATCTCTTCTTCTGTCATCCCCTTCTCCTCCCGCCTTCAATCTTTCCCAGCATCAGGGCCTTTTCAAATGAGTCAGCTCTTCATATCAGTTGGCAAAGTATTGGAGTTTCAGTTTCAGCATCAGTCCTTCCAGGGAATATTCAGGACTGATTTCTTTTAGGATGGATTGGTTGGATCTCCTTGCAGTCCAAGGGACTCTCAAGAGTCTTCAACACCACAGTTCAAAAACATCAATTCTTTGGTGCTCAGCTTTCTTTATGGTCCAACACACATCCATACATGACTCCTGGAAAAACCATAGCCTTGACTTGATGGACCTTTGTTGGCAAAGTAATGTCTCTGTTTTTTAATAAGCTGTCTAGGCTGGTCATAACTTTTCTTCTAAGGAGTAAGCGTCT